AATATAACAGAATTGTACAGTTGAAATACTATAGAAACGAGTCGTCAGCAATGGATATGGCAGAATTGTACAGTTGAAATACTATAGAAACGAGTCGTCAGCAATGGATATGGCAGAATTGTACAGTTGAATTACTATAGAAACGAGTCGTCAGCAATGGATATGGCAGAATTGTACAGTTGAAATACTATTATATTCTCTTTAAAACCCCTAAAGGGCCGAATAAAGAATGTTTAAAATAAAATAAGACTAATAATATTGTATTGTGACAAATATAATTGATCGTGCATCATGACAATTGTCATGTAGTGTAGTTTCCTTTGCAGGAGGTTCCGTCATAAGGCTGTCATCTCCAAAACATACCGATTTTCCCTGACTACTTTCTTATCCAGCTAGTGTACGAAGACAACGATCTCCAGCAGCCGTTTCAACAACCCAATCTCATAGAAAATCATAAATACGTCCTCGCATGAACAAAGTGAATACTCGTTCCATTCTAAACATTCTTGAATGCAACAGTTGAACATGGAATATGACTGTAAGCCTTATTTTGATGAACCCGTTTCCAGAAGGAGGTATTTCCTGATTTTATTGCTTACTGTTGTCTGTGTCACGTGGACGCCTTTCTCTACTGAGATTTATGTTCGTGGGTTCTGACCTATTACCAGATGCTGCATTTGTTTACCACTGCTGTGATATGACTTGTTATATGTCTCATTCTGGATAATCCCATGTTGAATCACATTCCATTATTTTCCAATGTCATTAAGTATCACGGATAATATCCGTCTTATAAATTCTATATCCCCGGTTTAAACACAGCTTTATGATCTATGAGTATGAATATTATGCGTCGGAAAGGTTTTTATAAACCATTCCCCAAAGCGATCACACTGCCTACAAAACGTAAAGCAATGTTAAAATATAGTTCTAATGGATTCCTTTCCACAACAGCTTTATATCGGTTGTGGTTATCAAGTGACTTGCTGATTTCCATATTCAAAATCGTTTTAATATAACACGCTCAACCCTCTGTATTCTGTGCATTTAATAACTAATTTACCACAACAGTTGCTGCACATTTGAATTACGGCGTGTAGTTTCGGCAAGTTTAGTAAATTGATTAAGATGTTGTTTTTCCATTCAAGGTATACGTAATAAGTTTAATATTAGTCATTTATCTTTAGTTCCCCGGTGATTTAGCAGTAAGGTTGAGGGTTTGTAGCAGTAGAATTCGGGGTTTTATATCCGCGAAGAATGCAATGTAAATATCTAATTTTACAGCTTTGCGCCAAAAGATATAAAAAGGATTTAAATTATTTCCACGAAATTTAAAAGAAATGTATTATTATTATTAATAACGATATCTATTTACTATTATTAATATCAACATCATAGGGTCTATATAAAATATGGAATTTGGTTTCTTGATAATAAAATACCACTTGACCGATGTTGATGGATGTTACAAGAAAAAAAGTACCAATGATCATCGAGATATAAATAGTTTTCTAATGAGTATTACAAATAAAATGATTATTAGGAGTTTAACTAATACTCCATCGCGCATGTTTTAACATTTGTTAACTAATTATGTATTCAAGGTAGTAAAGAATTAGTGTTTAGCACCAAACAATGCCATTTCTTTATTTGAATATAGTAAAACGCAATAAAAAGTATCAAATGTTATATACTGAGTCAGAATATGAGTCTTCTTAGCATAATTTTTAAGGCTTTTGTTTCTTTGTTTGTCGATAAACACAAAGCTACACAATGGTCTATCTGTGGTGTCCTCACCACATGTATCGAAACCCGGTTTGTATCGTATAAATCCACAGACTTTCCGCTGAGTCGCCGGGGGACAATTTTCTGAAAATAAAGCTTATTGTAATTTATGTATCACCCAAAACTTTAAATGAAGTATATGAATATTATGCTTTAAAACAGTTTTGTGACTTAATATTCGTTAATAAAAAGTAACTTTATCTGGAGACAGAAAAAGGACAAAATATTTTATAAGATTAGAAGCAGAAAGTTATTCAAGGAATTTATTTAAATATAATGGATTGCTTTGGTTACGTTTATTGCTGAATGAGTAAGGATTATCTAAGTGTCTTATGTTCTACGTCTTATCCATTTACCTTAGGTATATAGCTGAACAGTTAAAAGCTGGACATCACGTTAAACCTGAAACTTTCGAAAGCGTGACTATCTTCTTCAGTGACATTGTGGGCTTCACAGCACTCTCCGCGGAGAGCTCAGCAATGCAGGTAATCGTAATGTAAACAGTTTTAACTTGACGCAGTATTGTTTAAGATACTCTTGATGACTTAGAATGTTTTACTGAAACCAGAAAATTTAACAAGAAATTCTATATGAAGAATAGAAAATAAAAAATCGGAAGGAAGACTGTAGTTTATCCTATTAGTATTTTGTTTGTAGTTTCATTGACTGTATCATTGACTTAACTTTCACACCTGATGAATTACATCTAAAATTATTACAGTCAAATAGTTGTTAAAAAGGCCCCATATTTTCGACCTCCCACAGAGCTCCCAACCCTCTTGCAACGGGCTTGCTAAGAAAACATTTAAAAAATATATAAAAATTACACTAAAAACATATCTATTGGTATTTTATTTCAATATGATTTCATGTGGAATGAGCCTTAACACTTCAAAAATATTAAGGCTTGGTGTGGCTTATTGGTTAGCGTACCCGAACTGTGAGTCCGAGAGCCTGTTGCTGCATAATTGCGCTGCAAAACATCGTGTTCGTGGAAGCGATATAAAAGTGACAGTTAGACCCCATTATTCAGTCAGATAGGAGTAGTCCAAGAGTTGGCGATGATCACTATTGATTCGCTGCCTTATATTTAGCCTATCAGTTCAGAATTGGGGACGGCTATGTACAGATATCCCTTATGTAGGTTTTTGCGAAATATAAAGACAATGCAAATACCAGCCCACTAAGTTGAATCTTACGCTTAACTCTTTACACGAATAGAAGCCAAATAGTGATATGCAACGATGAAAGAATGGCTTTATACTAACAATTGGCTGAGAAAATGTATAACCAGATGCTACAAGGGCAGGGTAAATAAATAGCACATGTACATAATTTAGAGAAATAAGTATACTTAATATATTTACTTAGTTTATACTTCCGTTTGTTATAAAAACTACTGTATGACTCGCATAGCGATCTGTGGAAACTAACTTCATTAGCATTATAAATTCAATTCAAAGACAACGTTCAGTTCCCCAGATTTGTTGTTCGAAGACATAACTTTAAACTGTTAATTCAAGTGATCTTACTGTAAAGTATCGCTTAAACAATCTTTATTCTGATATAAATATTTTTATAAAGATCCTACACTTAAGTACTCTTAAACCATATATTCTATTTCAAAATTAAATACTATATTGGTTGGTGTAATAGACTGCGGAGCTGAGGTTCCATGTTTGCGTCTCGTTATCGCAAAACAGAAGTCACTCCACACGTTGTGACTTTGAGTACTTACAGCAGTACTATTCGATCTGATAATAATACCTCAAGATTTGGCATTTGGGGATGTTAACTAGCTGCCTGTCCGGGCGAAGATAACTCTCGTGTCGCTTAAAGTGAAATCTGAAACAAACAAACTATATTGGTTTTGTTAGAATTCTAGGGTTCCTTCGAGCGTTCAATCCTGAATCCAACTAGAAAACTAAAATGTTGTTTTAAAGTTGAGCTAAAAGATTAGCCCACTAGCTAATGCTAGCGAAACACTTTTAACTACACGAACAGCTCATATCTTCAGATTTCTCTTCTAACTAGACATTTGTAACTAGAAGTTAGAAGCTTCAAGTTTACAGTATAGTATATACATATATATGTATGTGTATTGCGTAAAGGAAATTTTGTCTTCATGTTTATCAACAAAATTTAAAATCCGTATGTGATTTAACGACAGTAAAATAATAAATAACACACAACGTTAAAATATATACACAATTAAAAACATTTTCGTTGTAAGATTATGCATTATTAAATAGAGATGAACGTCCGGCGAATATTTATGCAAAAATGTGGGATGAACATAAAATGTTCACGTGGGAATTGTAAACCAGTAAATAGATTATATGACCTATTTAACAGAAAAAAGTATATATGAGACACGATTATGTTTTGCAACTCACTCTTGAAGATGACGTTTCAATGTCGAAACATGTAGTTAACTTTTTTAGTGGTGGTAGACTGATCTTATTTTCGAAACATGTAGAGTAACTTTTTAGTGGTGGTAGATTAACCTTAATTAATTTTTTTAAATTGTGTACCTATTTTAAAGTTGTGTGTTATTTATTATTTTAACATTATACACAAGTGCCAAGACATAATACTAATTTAACGACAGTATTTACAATCCTGTAACGACTGTTTCGTATGTTCTGTTTTAGAAACTTTGGGCCCTATTGACATCGCTCATTGTGATAAAAACAAAAGCTTGAATCCATTTTGTTTGTTTGTGATTTAACAGGGATAGAACGTCGCATTTTAGTATTATACGTCCTCAATCGTACTACTGAGCCATCAGGAATAACTTATGTTCTTTGAAATAAATTTATTTGTTTTAATTAACTCATATATAACAACACATATGCAACATATTTATTAATGGTAATTTATTAATCGAAACAATTACCTAATTCTCTAATAATGAGCTTATCTTATACAACATTATGTTTTATGACAGCGATTACAGCCAATCATCTATGGAAAACATTTAGTGCTAACCAATCATCGTCATGCATTTTAAAATGTGTCAATAAGAACAAAATCGCCGTGCAATGTCGTCTTACTTTAGTGGTCTCGATTTTATCAACCAAGGAAATTAAACTTTTAGAAAGGACGCGTTCGCACAACATGCCATCGTTTCTACTGTTTGTGCCAATAACACGTTCACCTGCCACTGAAACTATGAAAAATATATAATACAAATATATTACAAAGAAAATGTTAACTTAAAATAAATAAAATTTCAACTTCCTGAAAATAAACAGAGAACCAAAATTTTGTGAAAGAGAAAATGTGGTGGAGTGTTTGGTCTAAATCTTTACTCGGTGAAACTGATGATTACAAAATATGAATATTGTTTGTTTGTTTTTGTTGCTGTTGTTGTACTCTATAAAACGGTTATCAGTTAATGATTGTTTTATATATATACAGATATATCGTTTCTTACTGCTGTAAGCTGCCATTTGTTGATCTGAACTTTATTGTTTCAATTTTTAGGTCGTCGACCTCTTGAATGACCTATACACGACTTTTGATGCCATTATTGGAAACTATGATGTGTACAAGGTAAAATAAGTCTAAGTGATATTGCAAATGAAGAAAGATTACAAGTGTTTATTTATTTATTCAAGTAATAACTTTAGCGTTTGTGACAGAAAATTAATGAAAAACTTTTAGAAATATAAGCAGTCACAATTATATATATTGTTACGTATGACAATTTCAAATAGCCTAAAACTGAGTTAAATTGTAATTTAGAGTTAGTAGTTAAATAAATGCCGATATATATATATCTATTAGGTCGCAAGAAATTAATGTCGCTTTTTTTTAGATGAAAAAACCCAAACAACTTATATATCAAAAC